TGGTGAAAGTAACTTTACGGGGTCGCAGCTAGTAGGAGGGCTTTATGGAGCAGAAAAACGACAAAGCGAGAAAAATTATTTTCCACTCCAGAAATTAATGATCATGAGCTCTTATTTGATGGACTCTAACTACATCGATCCGAAATTTCCTCCATGCGAGGAATATTCGCAAAATAATTACATCCCAGACCACAGTCCGGAATATTATAGCCGGACCAGGGAGTCCAGCTACCAGCATCACCACCCGGAGCTGTACCCCGTGCCACGACCCTCCTTCCCCGACCGCCCGTTCAGCTGCGGGGGGCTCCCGGCTCCCGGCAACCCGGCCGCGCTCCAAAGGGGACACGGGCAAACTCCAGGAGGCCAACACCTCTCAGAGAAAGCACAGCAGCTCTGCGAGCAGGCTGCTCTATCCACCTCCTCCACCACTCCTTCCCCAGCCCCTCCAGCCTGCAACCAGCCAAACCCCGACCATCCCACCAGCACAGCTTCCAAACAGCCCATAGTCTATCCCTGGATGAAAAAAATCCACGTCAGTACTGGTATGCAACTTTTATTTTCCTCTCCTGTCTCTCCGCTCTCTTATTTTCACACCATGCTCGCTCCCCTCTCGCCTCTCGCTCCCTCTCTCTCTCTCGCTCTCTCTCTCTCTCTTTTTTTTTATTTCCTTCCCTTCCATGAGAGCCTTTGGGTTAGCACAATTGAACTGGATTTACGACTCCGAATGGGTAATTACACCCACCATAAATTTTATAGCCGAGCTACTGTGGGCAGCCGTAGCCATGTGGCTCGGGCTGTTATGTATGTGTGAAACTCCGAAAGCTTTGTGAGGGGTGCATAAATAATTCAGTCTTTTGAGCCAGGGAAACCCCTTCCTATTAGAATAGAAACTCTTGAGCTGCCCAAAGTTCTTTATTACCTATTTAGCCTATTACTTTTTTTTTTTTTTTTTTTCTTCTCCCCCGGCTCCTCCAGTCGCCTCTCCCGACCCTCTCTCCATCCACGCTGATTTTCCTTGT